CCTCCTCTGCAATATTTTAGTTGCCCAGAGCCACTTTCATGTGACTACTTGGGTTGAACAATTTTGGGAGGTTTTTTTTTTTTTTTTTTTTGGTGAATCAACAGGAACGAACCAGGGATTAGCTGAACAGCATTAGCCTCTGCTAAGTGGTATACTTGACTGAAGTCGTTGCCACGGTGGCAATACTGATGGTATTCGCTTTTGGGGATGTGTCTGCCGCACATATTTTGCATAACAACATATTTTGTTTGTATTTGAAATAGCTTTTTTTTTAATATATACATCTGGTTAGGAAGTGTGTGGTCCTATGTGCCCCCTCATCTGCAATATTTTACTTGCCCAGAGCCACTTTCATGTGACTGCTTGGGTTGAACAATTTCGGGAGTTTTTGTTTTTTTTTTTTTGGGTGAATCAACCAGGGATTAGCTGAACAGCGTTAGCCTCTGCTAAGTGGTATACTTGACTGAAGTCGTTGCCACGGTGGCAATACTGATGGTATTCGCTTTTGGGGATGTGTCTGCCACATGTGCCACATAGACGCAAAGTCCTGTCTTGTCTCGTGAGAATACTTTTGTCTTTATGAGCCTCTACATGTCTGAGCCTGACATTTTTGGCTCTGCTAACGCATGTAAAAGCTGTCAATCATTCTTATTGTGCTATTTTGTCCAAAAAAAGGTCACAGGTCATTACGACACCTAGAAACTGTTTTCAATTGTCAAAACAAAAAAAAAAAAGCATCATTCGTCTCCTGTAATTAGTTTGATCAGAGAAATAATTTAAAAACAGGATAGGAAAAAGATTTAGCTTTAAATAGATCCATTTGAATGTGGTTAAATTTAGACAAATTCTCTGTCCCTCATCCAGTGGAACCCCCACAAACCTGCCAGTTGCTCGTGGTGGTCACTCTAATTTAATTTACCTTCACCGTGCAGCAGTGCAACCTGATCCCACGGGGTTTTAGTTTAAAGGCTGCTCTAAGGGTTCGCGTATCCATCCGCTGCATAAGAATGTATTTATCTGCCTCTGCTTGATCAAGTCATGGGCGATTTTTCTTTTAATGTAATTGACACACAGCAGACAAGAGTAAAAAAAATATATTTTTAAACGGATTAAAAATTACAATGTGTGGTGTACTTGGATGACCAATCACAATCTGTAACTTGGCCAAAGGATTTTGTGATTGTAAATATTAAATAGGTTGAACTTTTCCAATCTGAGTCTCCAAGCAGATTGGAGAGGATGATCACTTTGAATGAACACCACACCACAGATAGTCAGGATCATTTTTCAAAGAGATGCAATAATCGGGCCTCTGCTGACTTTGATTGCAAGGAAGAAATCGGGCTCAAATTTGGCCGATTAATGTGGTGTAACTATACACCACTTTAAACACCACCTGCCTCACTGAATTGACATCAAATGTAACAAGAATGTGAAGATTACATTTCATTTAACCCTTTCGGGGACAGCGATCACAACAGTGGACAGTTTATAGGTTACTGGTTATCATTATTGGTGCATAAAAGGGTTACATTTCATTTTTAATGTTTTACTTTGTAAAATAAACAGTGCTTATTATGATCATGGTTAATGCAGAGCCTCAATAGAAACATTAAGTAAGATAAAAATCAAGTACTTATCAACATATTTTTGTATTTAATAAAGAATTGCGAAACAAGTGCCAGAACCGTTTTTGAAGTAGTTTATGTAAGCGTGCTTCAGTTTAATTTCCTTTTCCATTCTTAAGGGGCCCTGATGATGATGATGATTTGAATCCATTTTTCGGATCATTCGTTGTTCTTTTATTACTATCAACTGTATTTTTTATGAAGTAAGATATTGTAGAGTTCAAATTCTCTTATTCGTAAACACCTGACAATTTTTTCTTTGCGGGGGGCGGGGGATAGAATGGAAAAATGGAAATTCCATTCATTTCAGTTCGGAAAATTTGAGTTCAGACCTCAGAAGTCAAGATACCACTTTGGTTGGCACTCCATATTAAAAGGCCACAAATTCACTTAAATCATGTATTATACGTACATATATGAAGGCTGTATGACTATATGGTGTAAATTTTACATACATTACCCACCACATTATGTTGAATCCGCTTCCAAAAGATGACGGTGAGCTTCTAAAGTTGAGACATGACTCGGGCTTGAACATTCCATCCGGTTGTGCCGATGCCTGCCAGAATGTTTTCCGCTAGTGAATGCCGTTGTGTGGCAACGGCCTCGGCGACAACACATGGTCCCGGGCCCCAAATGTCGGGTGTTCAACTCCCCTGGCGCCTGCGGGCTTCGTTTTGCGCGCTGATGCAAGGCCCTGCCCTCCGCGAGCAACAAGGCCCTTTGATCTATCTCGATGTAGAGTAGTTCGGAAGGCCTCAACACGTTGACTTGAGGTCCACTCAGGAGGCCCGCGTGAAAAGATACGCACGTGTGCTTGGGAAGGATATGATCAAGGGTTTTTGGAGTGAGCACTGTGTTCTACAGGTGGACACCTCTCATATGGTGTCAACTTATGAAGTGAGCCGTCTAACGGTTGGTATGGTCTAATATATGGAACACGATGATACAGAATGGTGCAGTATGATACGGTCCCAAATATTTGATACAATATGATATGATACGGTACAGTAACAATATGGTACTGCAGTGTGATTTGGGACACTATAATACAACGTCATCTGGTATGTTACGGTACAATACAGCACGACATACGTGGCAATACTTGATATTACATGGAACGAAATATGATATGGTCCTGAATGATACGATATAATTATGACAGGGATGAAGGATGGATGAATGATATTATACTGTATGATACGCTGCAGGTCTATGTATGATATCATGTGGTGCAGTCCAATTCTCTATGCTATTGAACGACTATTATGCACTATGGTACAATACAATATGGCAGAGCAAGATATGGTGGAATATGGCATGACATGCAATCTGGACCAAAATGATACGGTATAGTACAAAATGATGCCATTAAATGGTACAACATATGGTACAGTGTGGTATAATCTGCTATGGTACAGTAAAATGTGATACGGTCCAAGCTATATAATGTAATCCAAGATGATAGTGGACAGTCTGATTTGATGTTACCGTATGTGTTATAGTACAATATATGGTATACATTTTGATTTGGGCGTAGTATGGTGTAGTACAGTACAGTACAATAAGGTATAATTTGGAATTAAATCAGACTATAAAATACGTTACGGTACAATATGATATGGTATGATACGGTAGAGTACAATATGGTACCATGAAATGGTATTATATAATATGGTATGGTCTAATACAGTATGGTACAAGATAATAAGATATGATTTAATACAAATATGCCACAATCTTTTTTAGCAAAGCTTCCATCTGACTGCTGTATGTTACGGTTGCTAACTACATGACTCTTTTGCTTTTATTCTGGTCCCTCTCTCGTCTCCCTCTTGTTTCTCTTGTTGTCACGTTGTATTATTGGAAACATTAGCCAGGCTTATTTTTAGCAGCTTGACTTAGGGAGAATCAGCGGTGCCCCCGTCCTTCCTCGACGAACTTACGCCACACCTAAAAGCTGCCATTGGATGTGCACCTACTGCATGTTTGGCTCATGTCGGCCAGACTTTCCCCTACCGCGCCTCGCCATGCTCAACTTCCCGAATCTCTCTCTCTCTCTCTCTCTCTCTCTCTCTCTCTCTCTCTCTCTCTCTCTCTCTCTCTCTCTCTCTCACATACCCCCCCACCCCCCACACACACACACACCTCGGTTTGCCTGAGGCGTGCTAAAACCTGTGCACACAATGCCTCCCTCCACCATAGTCTGTGGTGTGAGGCTAAGTATAGCTGAGAAAAGACAGATGAGGGCACATCATCGCGCTCTCTTATCTTTGCTGTAAAGCCCATTGTGATACCAAACAAATGTCTGTTTATTTTCAGGAGGTTGCTTTCTAAATTAAGAGCGGCGCGTAATAACAGCTGTGAGCTAAGTCATCCGAGAGCTTCTAAACTGGACGTGACACGAGGGATTCTCTCACTCCCCTTTACATGTGCGCTCACTGGGCACTTGATTAGGTACAGCCGTACGAACTGTACGGACAGTTAGAGCTCAGAGGAAGATTATGCAAATTTGCATTCTGTTTGATATCATGGGGGCAGCATGGTGGATTAGAAGTTATCTGGTTCAGGGTTCGAGTCTACCGCCAGCCTTTCTACATGTGGAGTTTGTATGTTCCTCCTTACGTGGGTTTTCTAGTTTCCTGCCACATTTCAAAAACGTGCATATTAGCTCTCGGGAATTGTCCGTAGGTTTGAATGTGAGCGTGAATGGTTGTTTGTCTATCGATTAGCTGACGACCAGTTGACCTCGTGCCTCAACTCACCTTGGATTGGCCCCAATGTCACTATCCACCGAATGCCACCCCACGTTGCACTTGCCAATATCCTCCACTTTTAATGAGGATAAGCGGTCCAGAAAATGGATGGATGAACACTTCTCTTACACTCTAAATCAAAATTTACAAGCACAAGCATCATCCCCACCCCTTCAAAAGTATTAACAAGGCCATCTGTTTTGTGGTTGGAAATGTAAATTTAACAGACAAATATCTGACAAGAGATCAGCAATTCATTTCCAGGAATCTATATGTGGATTGGTGATGAATCCGTCGGACCCGAGAGCTTCGTACGAGTGGAAAACAAGCAATTGGGTAGCGGAGAAAAGACCATTTGGAATGAGTAAATCAATAAACTCTTGCTCTACCGAAAAACGGGCATCCAGGAGGTGAAACGAGGAAAATACTAGATGCTGGCAACAACAACAACAAAAAGATGATAAAGACCCTGAAATGTTAATCATGTAAATTAAATGTGGCTTTTAGTCATCACTCACAGGACGGCCTGTGCTTTGATGCCGATGGTCAACGCGTAGTAATTTGCCTCAAGTTTTGGAACACGCTTGTACATAATTGACTTTGCTCTGTTTCACAGAAGAAGAGGAAGACTTCACGTCCGTCCTCCGAGATAAATCCCACATCGAGGAGACGCTTCGATTCGCCACAGAGGAAAAAGCAGCAGACTATGCAGGTGAGAAATTGAGCGCCCGCTCAAACGCAGCGCATCCAGCAGGTGGTGCTGTTGGGCTTGCTCTGATGAAGAAATGTGCACACCGCTCAAATCTTCGCCTCCCTCGACTAGACGCGTGATGTAATGGTGGTACCCAGTTGAACGCTGTTGCTAACGAAAACAGTAGCACTTACTAAGCTAGTGAGTCTTACCTGCCCAGTGATGAAGATTTTGTTTTCATGTCAACTGCAACTCGTAGCTTTCAATAGACGCTGATGTGATTGTGCCACACTATTGGCGTCTTTTCCCGTGGAAATGAATGCAAAGTCACCCACTGTTGTCTTGTTTCTCCAGCGGCTGTGCAGAGGCTGCGGAAGATCTACCACTCCTCCATCAAGCCCATGGAGCAGGCCTACAAGTACAACGAGCTGAGGCAACACGAGATCTCAGGTGCCACCAAAGGCCTTCAGGACGTTTATATTTGTTGTGTTGTGTGGTGAGGGTCTGTTTTCTTGGGGTTGCTATAGCGACCGGTTAGTTTGGAACACATTTTTACACCTTCAGCTATTTGATTAATTTACTTCATTCTTTGTGCTGGGGTGGGGAATGCGCAGCAGACGCGCCATACAGACTATTTAGTTTGGTCCACTTTGCTATCGTAAAAGTCTGAGAGGGTCTCAGGAATATAAATGATCATGATATATGAATTCTAGTTGTCATGAATTGAAAAATGTTCCCCACTCCTAGCACTGGATTTTCAATCATATCTTAATGTATTCAAGTGCATCTTTTCATTCCTTTCATTCCACTTACAAAAATACATTTAAAAAGTCTGTCTTTTTAAATGACTTTTCTGCATCTAAGCCTCAAAATCACTTTTTTAAAGTGTTTTTCCATAGTCAGGGCTCTAGACTGAGACTAATTCATGGTCACCCTTATTTTTCAATCCCCTTAAAAAGCAAAAAACAAATAAATAAACAAACACACAAATAAATATGGTTGGACCACAGTGCGAACAATTTTTCGAGGTGACACTCTACACTGTACCGCAACCACATGTTTAATATTTGCCTAAATGCAATGTTTATGAACAATCTGTTATACTTGTAATTCATCCGAGGTATCTCAACTCAACTCAACTTGACAGAATTTATAGAGCACTTTAAAACAGCCATCGCTCTGGATACAAAGTGTTGTACATGGAGCAAATATCACATCTACAACAATAAAACAATTAATTAATAACGAAGGCAGTAGAAAGCACAAAACAGTAAAACTAAGATCAAGTCTGAGTCATGCCGAGTCAAATGCCAAAGAATACAGATGAGTTTTGAGACGAGTTTCAATGATGGGCAGCGAGGGGGCTTGCCGAATGTTCAGTGGGAGGTCATTCCAACGAGGGGCACCAGCAACGGAAAAGGCTCGATCCCCTCTGAGCCTCCACTTAGTTCTTGGTACCTCTAATAATGTCTGGTCCGCAGACCTGGGGCGCCGAGAAGGTGCGTAGGGGCGGAGGAGCTCAGAGAAGGTGGAGCGAGGCCATTTAAAGATTTGAAAACAAATAATAGGATCTTAAAAAGAACTCTAAAATGTATAGGGCGCCAGTGAAGGGATGCCAGAGTAGGAGTTATGTGCTCCCTCTTACGGGTACCAGTCGAGAGGCGAGCAGCAGCATTCTGGACCAACTGGAGATGCTTCATGGAGGATTGGCTGACTCCAAAGTAAAGTGCATGACAGTAATGCAGCCGGTATGTCATTTATTTGTTCTACATTTCAATGCCAATATTCACTTTTCTTGAAAATAAAAAGTTATTTGCTCTTAAAAATGGATATACTTGATTTAAGATGTTAGGGATAGCATAAAAAAACAACATCAAACATATTTTCATTTCGGGGAGAATATATCGTTCTAAAAAATGTGTTACTGGGACAGACCGAGACGAGCGACCTACACCTGTCAGAAATAGAGTCAAATAGCTGCAGATGATGAATGAGTGACATCTTGAAAGTTAAGTTAAGACTCGGTAGGTTACTTAGTCAATTATTTAACAGTTAATATTGCCTCAGAAGACAGGCAGCAATTTGTGTAAAATAAGGAGTGAACCTATAACAGTGCAGTGTTGAGTGTGATGCAGTGGAAAATTTGGGTGCACCCAGTGCAAAAAGTTGGTCTCGAGCCCTGATAGTTCAAGGTATGAAAAGCAAGAGTCCAGCCAGGATCTCCCACCCATTCATACTCTTCCTCCCTGACCGTGCTCTCCTCACTCTCCTGGCTCCCCTTCCCCATCCCTCCACCTAACAGCCTACCCTGGACGAACCCTGGGCGACGCAGCCACAGGTGGGTGCGGCTGGGGCTTACCTGTGCATGGCACTGCCTCAAGTGCTCAACCCCTTCCTGGCCCACCCCTCTCATTTGCCTTGACATCACCGGCCACAATGTTAGGTACACAGTCACGTGACATCCAAAATGAGAGCGCTGTGCAGTTCTCGGACTACATCCCATTGACTTGTGCAGCCAATGTACGTTATGTTGTGGCCAGTTTAAAAGAAAAACAAATATTTCTTGTGATGGTGCAAAATGCGTGGGGCTTGCATGTGCACTTCTGGCTTGAGCAAAGTATGAATGGGTGTGGATGAAGAGACTGAAATAGTCTTGCTCATTTTTGGCTGAATTAATTGAGGTTTGGGCCAAAACGACTGAACACCAACACCAATACCTATACCCATACCCACACACAATGTCACACTGCTAGGAAAAGCGCTACTTGCATTTCAGGTTTGTGCTCCTGATTTACTGCTTTTTAGACACTATAGTGCAGCATTTAATGATGGGGAGTTTTTTCGTGCTTTTAAAACTGCTTCATAGCCTTGAATCATTTCTCTTTGCCTGCCCTGTATTGGAGCCTTCTTTAGTCTGGATCAGGGGGTGGGGAACCTACTGTGGATCTGGCCTGTCATGCAGTTCTGAAAACAAACACAATCAAAGAACAAATGGAGCAAGAACCCCAAATACAAATAAACCCACAAATACTTGTGATATGTGACATAAATTTTACATTTCTTCATTTTTCACACACACAAAACGGCCCCTGGGAAAAGGTTCCCCAACCCTATTCTGGGTTAATGCTTTATAGACCAGAAAGTATCAAAGCAAATGTGTGACATCAAATATTCATATATTATTATAATTATTCTTATTAAGTATCCATCAAACCGGTATTTAGTTTCAGGTGACAAAATAGTTTTTTCCATTATTATTCATGTTCAGGTCATAGATCACACACATGGTTCTATTGCCTTATAATTGAGGCTAAGGTGTTTAGTGAAGTACACGCGTCCAGATTTTTTGCATCAAATGCAAATTTCAAAATATCAAAAAATCAGCACATGACGAGGAAGAGATCTGCAAATGTACTCTTACTGCTCTCGTGTGTGTGTGCGCGTGAGCCTCGACACGCACATGACAACCATAGCCCTGTTCACACGGCACACATTTGGTCCGACGCTGCACCGAAATATTTTGTTGCGATATATTTTACACCGGAGCAAATTTTGTGGAGCGGTCACACGTGCAAAGCTGCTGAGCGTGACAGCTCCGGCGCAGCGTCGGAGCAGCTCCACTTGCGGTCACACGTGCAGTTTCTGTTGCGGACCAAAACGACAGGAATGCGGAAGTAAAACAGGTTCGGGTCGGGCTTCTCTCTCGTGGACTTTTATTTATTTTTCTTTTAATAAATATTATGGCGGACACTATTCTGTCCTTGCTCAGAATAGATCCACTTGTCGGCAGTCGTGGAATAAAGACGTGTTTACAGTCAATCGTGTGTGCTCCTTATGCCTGCCACAATATATGTTTTAAAAAATGTACACTAAAACGATGTGCGGATACAAAACTAAGGAATACTTGTTTTAAAACAAACAATTTCGACAAAACAGAGAATGCGCTGTAATTTAATTGCTATTTAACTGCTAAACAGGAGCGCGGTCGGCCAGACGCAGTGCGCACGTATGTTAATTTTGTTTAAACAATCCTATAGAAATAATTTCAGATATCTTTACCTATTTATTTGATTTGAATTATTCTTTTTAAAGCCTAGTAAGCCACAAGATTTATCTGCGTAATTAAGCAAATGCACATCGAGATTTCTCTTTGTCTGGCCTCTTATTCTGTATTTCAGCGTTATTTCGTTGTGCAAATGCATTGATAATGTTCATAAAAATATGTAGATTATTTTAACC